TTTTCTTTAGTCGCTGACATCGTTTCAGCATTATTCATAAAATAACCGCTTATTACACCGAATAACACCACTTAAAAAGTTACAAATTAATTCTCGATTTATTTATTATTTTTTTTTTATAAGAGGGTATTTAACGTACTGTCAACCGAGTAGTTATTTTTCGGTAATTCTCGATTTATGATCAATTGAGGTTAATGTATTCTTTAAGGTCTTCTTCTTCTTTTATGACTGGTTGAGCAATACCATAGACCAGTGCATGCCACGATCTGCACATTTCGGCCGATTTCCGAGAGTCAACGCCTATCGCGCCCCCCTTGCGTCTTGAGATCCTCACCTAGCAACCGTAACCAAGCGCGCGGCGCTCTGTCTCAGGTACGGTGCATCTGTACTGTGATGCGGTTCCGTACCCCCTTACTGCCAAATATCAGTTTTAAACGCGATCTCTTTAGAATTTTTTCAAATAATTAATTCAAGAACAAAGTTTCAATACTCGATTATTAATTACATTTACGATATAATAATCCTAAAATATTATTAAATTATATTCGATAGATTAATAAATTTGTTTGTCTCGCGCGCGGAAACTCTTCCCGATATATAAATTAATAAATAATTGTAAATTTAAAGTTTTATAAAACACGCTTTTATTAAAAGCATAGTATAGCGCTCTCTTTCGTCATGCTACGTGCGAGCGAGAGAGAACGCAAGGGGCACGAAACAGAGTATGTCCTTTTCTACGTGCACCTCGGCTCCCACTCCTCAACACTCGGTCTAGATATACTATGTCTATGATTACGTCATTGTACGACGAGTTTGTTATTAGATGTTTTGATTGGCTATCGGATAGAGAATTTCTAGGATTCTCAAAGTTTCTTACAGCGTTTTCGAATGTAGCAGGTTCCAATTTCACCAAGTCCGGTTAGATGAACCGACGGTTAAAATTAGCAGGGTGGCCAACAGAAAATAGAGGTGAAGGAAAAGTCTATGATCTAACCGGACTTGGTGAAATTGGCCCTAAGCCCGTATCAGACTACGCATTGAAGGTTGAGATTCAAGATTCAAGATTGAGATTTGACCAATCAGGACAAAGAAATTTTAGTTTCTTCTGTTCTGATTAGCCAAATTCCAAATTCCAAACTTTAATCTTCAATTTTCGATTTTCAATGCGTAGTCTGATACGGGCTTTAGTATAGCTGTTAAGCCCGTATCAGACTACGCATTGAAGATTGAGATTCAAGATTCAAGATTGAAATTTGACCAATCAATATAAAGAAATTTTCGTCCCTTTTGTTCTGATTAGTCAAATGCCAATCTTTAATCTTCAATCTTCAATTTTCAATGCGTAGTCTGATACGGGCTTTAATCAGTATGTCCGATAAAGCTTCTCGTTTGATAAACGAAATATTACCTTCACGTAATGGAGGGACCAATCAGAATACAAGAAATAGAAGGATTCCTTTGTCCTGATTGGTCCATCAAACGATTCGAGTTATCGCAAATAAAATGCACTCTATATCCAATATGGCGAACTAACGAGTATCAATTTTAAGGGTGCATCCCGATGGAGAAAGAATAGCAGAACGGAACAGTAACGGAAAAGAAACCAGATAGAAGATAACCAATCAGAATGATTCCGTTACAATTCCGTTCCGCTTTTTAATCAATGGGTTCCCCATGGCACGGAACCATTACGGAACGGAAAAATTTATAACCTCATCCATATGAAAAATTCGCGAAGTGTCTACCGAGATTCATTTTACAACGTACGATATAAAATTCTCAAAGAATGGGCGCCCGTTAGTTATGTTGCATTACTGCTTTCTGCCACGAGAGGCTAAAAAGCATTTTCAGGTTCAGGCCGTATTTCGGCCGTAAAGCAATACGCTAGAGAAACAAGGATAGCATGCGATTGTCGCTCCTTGTCTGACATTATCTCCCAACAATCGCTTCCGTGTGCTCAACATATCGGTGTGCTTTCACGGACGATACACATATGTGATGAAAGAGAGACAAGGACGGCGTAATCATCTCTCTTTGTCAAGCAGTCAGTATGTTACCATGAAAATTTCCCCATGAGCTGCTCCTTAGATACACATCTAGTGAGATCCGCTTATTCCGTATTTTACATCGAAGAAGTCATATTACTTCATGAAACTTTTTTTAATAAATTCTTGAGTGACGGCCAAACTCCGAATTGATATTGGAGACCTCGCGCGGTGACAATGCGAAACTCCGACTTCAGGATTACCAATCTGAGAAATAAATTCTCGATCTCTATGTAGAGGTGTATGTCTATATATGTACACACACGATTGAATTGCTCGCGTGAACGCACCGTGGAGAGGAAAGATAGAAAAGGATCAACGATCACGTTATCCTTGTTCCTCTAGTGTATCGCTTTATAGCCGAGATACGGCCTGAAAATGCTTTTTGGCCTCTCGTGGCAAAAACAGTAATGCAACTAGGCTAACAAGCGCCCACTTTGTGTAAATTTAATATTTGTTTATGCACATTTATGCGTATATATGTATCAATAATATCTAAAAATTATATATATGATTAAACATTGTATGACGATAAATAATAACAGTAAGATAATAACTCACAGAGTGAACTAATATACAATATGTAAAACACGGGCACTTATTAGACTTGGCAATTTATTGCTTTTTTACTTGTTGCTTTTTCATCGATACTTTATGTATTGTCAGCATGATAGAGCGACAAGGAGAGAACAATTGTTAATTCTTGGCTTACATTATCTTTCAGTAATTGCAAATTTATAGACCGACAAGTATGCTATCTTGATTTCTTTTCGATTATATCGATATTATCGCGTAAAAATATCTGCTACATAAATACTGATAATATGAAAGCATGTACAAGAAATATGTGATGGCTCAGTGCAAGAGTGTTCAATCCATAGACATAGTATATCTAGACCGAGCGTTTGCCTTTATTTAAGGTGTATGCATGTATGCATGTATGCATGTATGCATGTATGCATGTATGCATGTATGCATGTATGCATGTATGCATGTATGCATGTATGCATGTATGCATGTATGCATGTATGCATGTATGCATGTATGCATGTATGCATGTATGCATGTATGCATGTATGCATGTATGCATGTATGCATGTATGCATGTATGCATGTATGCATGTATGCATGTATGCATGTATGCATGTATGCATGTATGCATGTATGCATGTATGCATGTATGCATGTATGCATGTATGCATGTATGCATGTATGCATGTATGCATGTATGCATGTATGCATGTATGCATGTATGCATGTATGCATGTATGCATGTATGCATGTATGCATGTATGCATGTATGCATGTATGCATGTATGCATGTATGCATGTATGCATGTATGCATGTATGCATGTATGCATGTATGCATGTATGCATGTATGCATGTATGCATGTATGCATGTATGCATGTATGCATGTATGCATGTATGCATGTATGCATGTATGCATGTATGCATGTATGCATGTATGCATGTATGCATGTATGCATGTATGCATGTATGCATGTATGCATGTATGCATGTATGCATGTATGCATGTATGCATGTATGCATGTATGCATGTATGCATGTATGCATGTATGCATGTATGCATGTATGCATGTATGCATGTATGCATGTATGCATGTATGCATGTATGCATGTATGCATGTATGCATGTATGCATGTATGCATGTATGCATGTATGCATGTATGCATGTATGCATGTATGCATGTATGTATGGATATTAATATCATGTTTACATTTAATTTTTATGATATACTGATAAATATCAATGGCCGCGTTTAAGGGTGCCATTACATGGAGCGCGGAAACGCGGATTAGCGTAACGCGGAACGAGAGTAAAACCAATCGCGAGCATTCTGCAGTTTTTGTTACGCTCGCGATTGGTTCCCTTCTCGTTCCGCGTTACGCTAATCTGCGTTTACGCGCTTCATGTAATGGCACCCTAAGGGTCGACAGGAGTGACGGACAAACTCCGAATTGACATTGGAGACCTCGCGCGGTGAAAATGTGAAAGTCAGTTTTCAGGGTTATCAACGCTGAGGAATGAATTCTCAGTCTCGATGTATAGGTGTATGTCTGTATACGTACACACACGATTGCTTTGAGTGTACTGCATGATAGATTGAATATTTTACACTTCGTCATTACATGTATTATTTATATATATGCTTTCATATACCAAAAAAATGTCCCCATTAGCTGCTCCTTGCATATCGCTGTAGTGATATCCGTTTTTTGATATCCGTATGTAGCCTCGAAGAAGTCATATTTCTTCCTCTAACTTTGTTTGCTATATTTTTTGCAAAGCTTAGATTGGCGCTACAGAGCCGGATTTTGCATTTTGGCTCTCAAAAAATTTATAATTAATAAAATACAGCTCATGGCCAACTGCACCTAATCCGCCATGAGCTGTACCAGAGCTGTACCTTATTTATCAATTTATGAAATATTATTTTAACTCTTTTTTCCAAAAAAATCGCTCTGTAGAGCCAATCTTACGATCTTACTGATTACGAATATTGCTGTTAGAATTTAATTTTCTTTGTATTTTGGCCGTAATACAAAAAAAACGTATCCGTAGTTTACGGCTTCCCGCGAGAGGTCTCTACTGTCTCTCCTGCCGACCCTTAACATGATTCTCTATATTTTTTGGCCGTAATACGGGAAAAGCGAATTCGTAATTCACGGCTGTCCGCGAGAGGCTCTACCGTCACTCCTGTCGACCCTTAAAGCCCGTGTCACACTACGCATTGCGGACTCGAATCGGATTTGGAGTACGGACTGCGAATCTGTTATTATTTATCGTCATACAATTTTTAATCATATATATAATTTTTAGATATTATTGATACATATATACGCATAAATGTGCATAAACAAATATAAAATTTACAAAAAGTGGGCGCTTGTTAGCCTAGTTGCATTATTGTTTTTTGCCACGAGAGGCCAAAAAGCATTTTCAGGCCGTATCTCGGCTATAAAGCGATACGCTAGAGGAACAAGGATAACGTGATCGTTGATCCTTTTCTATCTTTCCTCTCCACGGTGCGTCCACGCGAGCAATTCAATCGTGTGTGTACGTATATAGACATACACCTCTACATAGAGATCGAGAATTTATTTCTCAGATTGGTAATCCTGAAGTCGGAGTTTCGCATTGTCACCACGCGAGGTCTCCAATATCAATTCGGAGTTTGGCCGTCACTCCTGCCGACCCTTAATTCGCGCCATTGTGTGTGTGTTGTGTTTATCTAATAAACGCGTGCCAGTCCATCGGAGTTCGAAAACTTGAATCTAGAGATTTGAATCTCTCTCTTCAGTTTGTTTTATCAAATTATGTTCTTCTCTTAATTTTTCGAAAGTACGTAATATGCACTTCGCGTAATTTAGAGTTCGCGCGTTAATTTATATCCATTATTATCTAATGTGAAATCGTCCAAGTTCTTTCAATGTCGAGAGAAGCCTCATCTGATTGAAATCTGTAATTTATTTTACACAGGTATATATGTGCCTTTTATGAATTATATTTCTCTAAAGAGCTCACAAAATTTGAAACGGAATTTTAATACTCTTGCCAAAGTATATTCTACTAATAAAAGGAAAAAATCACATGAAAAGATCGAATATCGAAAGATTTCGCTTAAATATTGTTATATTATTATTTCGATCGATAGAATAATTCTTTTAAAAGAGAAAAGGGTAGTTTCGAAAAAAGTGAAAGGTGCCACAAAAAAAAGAAACAGGTTTAAAAGATCATTGCCAGAATATATTTCCTATATTAATTATTTTTTCTAATGGCAACAAATCGTCACGTGTTTGCCATTAACTACAATATCGCTCGGCTCATATATACTATCTCTTTCTCTCTCTCTCTCTCTTGTATTTGTAAATATGAAAACGCACGCTGCAAATTGCAAAGTGAGGAAGATACTCGTCTATACATATATTGTTGGTCGCGAGAATGCTTCTTTAGATATTATATTTGCGCGCATTTGTACATTGTTGTTGTGTTGTTACTCTCGCTTGTAAGATACGTATTGTTATACTTTTTAAACATTTTTGTGATATTATGATAAATGAGACCGGTTTGTTCGATAAATGAGACATTGACTACGTTTATACGTCAGTTTTAATCGAATTTAATAAGAATAGTTCTAAAACTGGCCAATCACAGTCATTCCTTTCTTCAGAGGAATAATCGTGATTGGTCAATTTTAAAACTACGAATATTATTAAACCCGCTTAAGGGTGACGTGTAAACATTGTCTCTCGTAGAAAGAAATTCTCTCGACTCCTTCGTAAAGATTCCACAAACGTTACAATTTATGGTACGACAGATATACATTTCTACCCAAGCGAAACAGAAAATCACAATAACATCAAAATGACATCGAACTGACATTATAATGACTTTTGATAGTCATTGTGATGTCATTTTGATATTATTATGATTTTCTGTTCTGCTTGGGTACAGCAAGTCTTTTCTTTACATTTCTATCATCGCGGTCGTATATAAATTTCTAAATAAGAATAAAATTATTTAAAAGACATTTAAGAAATATTCTGAAAATTATTTTAAAACTGAAGTTAACGCGCAAAACGCAGATATTTTCAAAAGTTTAGAGAAATAATAGGAAGAGAAATTTTTCACACAGAAAATTTTAAAATCGCTCTTGATTTTTACGAATTGATTATTATCACGATAATTACATTTTTGATTTGTATTGTGTATCGTACGTATAGCAAGGATCCCTAGTGGTTTTGTAAAGGTATGACAATTTGCGTTTTATTTTTTTTGTCGATTTTGCAAATTTAAAAGAAACGGAAATGCAATAAAATTATTACAGAGCCATTAAACTGTTCATTCGCATATGGATGCATACGAGTATTATGCGAATCACAAAGCGTGGCGTCCGTTCTTGGATTGCCTTCTTGCTTATAACTCTATATTCGCTTAGCTCCCTTTTTACTTTGGCCATAATACGCAAGACATTCCCTATAGAACCATTCGAGTGATTATTTTGAGGCTATCTGCAAAGCGTTATTAAAAATTAAAAATGAAGGAAAACTTTGAAATTAAATATTTATTTTAATATAACTTTTTTTATCAAATATATATAGATATATTTATAAAAAAAAGAAACAAAACAATTTTTTCAAGCTTTTTTCTCTCTCTCTAAGAAACTTTAGAAAATAGGAAGAAAACTTCACATACAATAATTTTTTTAGCTATCACTGTATAAAAACTACTAGCCAAATTGGATTACTCGATTTATCGTACAACAAACTATTACATCTGTGGACTGTTTTAAGGCCACGTGTTGCTCGACGCGAAGAATTGATATGCCGATCACAGAAATTTCTTTAATTGATACATCACGGGACATTTTGGTTTTGATTGATATATTGAGCATATACGTTTATGTATATATATGTATATATATACATACACGTTTATATATTATCGCGTTCGATTTGAGCTGTTCTTAACGACTAACACAAACCCGAATGAGGCGTCGCCATCCCGACATTATCTTCTTGAATGTGCATATTGTTCTTATGCAAAGAACATTGCATAACGTGAATACTACGAAATTAACTCTTTGGCTGCGAAGGGCACAATAAAATTGTGGAATGATAGATTAAAGGGGGATAGGTAAATTATCGATTTAGGATCCAGTGAGTTAAAATTCTATGTTATGATTAAACGATTTACGAATCTAAAGATATCAGAGATTCACAAATAGTTCTTAAACTTGTACATTTTTGTCCTATATTTAGAATGCGACTCTGTTGCATAAGGTCAGTCGAGAATAAGGTCCTGCGCACAATAGAGAAAATATTAGAAATAGGAATAAATATAAAATTATAAGAAGAACAATTAGGAGTTATTTTACTTCAAACAAGGGAACGGAACGGAATTTTTAATTTATTATGCGTTAATACATTCCATTCCTTATTTATATTTTTATTCCTATTTCTAATATTTTCTCTATTGTGCGCAGGGCCTTATGCTCATTTTATATTTATGTTATAAATATTAGATAAACAAAACACAGTTTATTAAATAGTTATATATATTTAAACATCGATGAATCTTTGAAAACTTGAGAATCGTTAGAGACTTGCCCTTTTTTAATCATAATTTCAGTTACGGGATATTCACGTGTCTATTATTGATGTATGTCTTTCTTAGGACACCCTGTATATAATAGCTCGTTTCGCAAGTAATGTTTTCAGGTATTGATATCATACGTAAGATACTTACGAATATATATATATTGACCGTAATTTTAACAGTGCTTATATTTGTAATATAAGCATTATTATACAAAAAATCTCTTCAAGATCACATTAATCTTTGTTCAACGGTGGACTTAGATTAGTAGGCAATATTTGAAAAATTGGTATATCATCTATTTCCCTCAACCATAGTGGACTCCCCAGCATTTGTTCGAGAAGATAATTGGCTGCCCCATAGCACAACAAACTACAAAAATTTTTCCATCTGCTAATATCATATACCTTGTTTCTATGTGTCGATATATGATACTGTTGTCAGATAATGACAGTCAATGGTTTTGAACAAAGAACATATCCACACAATTTTATTATCGCAAAATTGTTGGCCATTTTCTTTTCGATTGGTAGGATTGCTAAATGTTATATATTGTTAATGTTGGATTCTTAGAGTTTAACTTTATTATTATAATACACAGTTTGTCGGAAGGATTCTTGAGAACGGAATTTAAGAATACTGTAAGTCGAACACGTCTTGATCGATACGTGGTCTGATCTCGAGAGAGCGAGGATCGCGCAGTGTTCCGTTTGCCGGTTTTCGCATATCCCTCTCCTTACGCACGCGCAGAGCCTTGATTGCCACGTCTTGGCGCTTGCTCCATACATTTACATATATACACGCACACATTATACATACTCATCACACACACAGATTATAGTTCTTTCCTGAACACTCCCTCTTATAATCCATGTGTCTTTTTACATACATTTTTTTATAGGTTTATAGTTCCTTTATGCCAATTAATTCGCGTAACATTTGAAATTTTTGTTTGCCTAAGGGTTTTGTAAGGATATCCGCTTCTTGAATATCAGAATTAACGTGCTGTAATTGAATTTCTTTATTCTAGTGATGTTTCCGGACGCAGCCCTAGCGGTAGGAAAAATAGGGGGAAATTTGACAATTTTTTTTTCACAAAAAGAATTTTTTTGTTAAAAAATCTCTAGCTACATCTTAAAGTAGATCCTTTAATGTATATTTGGTAAAGTTTTCATTAATAAATATTAAAAAATGTGCTGTGGAAATGTCATCTCCTGGAAGCTGTTCGACGAAGCGGTAACCATTGTAGCTCCTCTAATTTTTATCTGAAATCAAAAGCCACAAAATTTTCTTAAAGTATATAAAAAAAGGAAGTTATTGTAGCCGATTTTAAAAATTTTGATTTTTCAAAAAATGGCGGCCATTTGAATGCGAAGGTATCAGATTAAAAATCATATCTTTGCATTCAAATGGCTGCCATTTTTCGAAAAATCAAAATTTTAAAAATCGATTACCACAAAAACTTCCTTTTTTTTATATACTTTAAGAAAATTTTTTGGTTTTTGATTTCAGATAAAAATTAGAGGAGCTACAATGGTTACAGCATCGTCGAATAGCTTCCAGGAGATGACGTCTCCACGGCACATTTTTCAATATTTATTAATAAAAATTTTACCAAATATACATTAAAGGACCTACTTTAAGATGTAGCTAGAGATTTTTTAACAAAAAAATTTTTTTTATGAAAAAAAAATTGTCAAATTTCCCCCTATTTTCCCTACCGCTAGATGTATGTAGCCTCTTAAGAATACCTAAAATTACCTACAGATTATTTGATATTACACTTAGATTACTTAGATTTCCTATTAGATTATCTGAGAATGCTAAAGATTATTTAGAATTACCAAAAATTACCTTGGATTACCCAAAATTTCCTTTGGATTGCCGCTGAATTACCTAGCCCTTGTACAAAAATTATCTCAGTGACCAACCTCTCGGTTTTTTCTAACCTCAATTGATCATAAATCGAGAATTACCGAAAAATAACTACTCGGTTGACAGTACGTTAAATACCCTCTTATAAAAAAAAAATAATAAATAAATCGAGAATTAATTTGTAACTTTTTAAGTGGTGTTATTCGGTGTAATAAGCGGTTATTTTATGAATAATGCTGAAACGATGTCAGCGACTAAAGAAAA